CTTACTTTTTCTTTGGTTGTTGCATTTTTAATTTAAAGATTGCAGCAGGAATGACGAGAAAACTAGACATTGAAATGTTTGCTGTAGCTGTTGGTGTATCTGGAGAAAGTGGAGTTGGATCTGTCTTTCATAAAATTTAAACCTATTTTATACAACTTATTTTATTAAGTTATATTTTGTATTACACTACGTATTTACTATACACTACACATTGGCTTTAGAAATATCTTCTTGTATAATTCAAGATTCTTAAATATTTGAGGAACAGCAAAATTTCATCATTATTATCCAAGATTAATCTTCAACATTAACAAAAGTAGTAAGGTCAAGGACCACGACATTGAGTGAGAGAAAATGTTTCCCTGCATCCTCGTCCTAGTTGGCCTCACGATTTTATAAAACACCTAAACTTATTCAAGGCTCTAGAGCCTATAGGAATACATCTGAGTAAAATAACCATTTACAATAATTTGAGTAGATAATTTAAAATGATAACGTCATTATGCCAGAAGTTTCAACTTTTCGCAATTTCTTTCGGCGTCGCTTTTAGAGACCATTAGATGTTTTTGGTGTCACGAAATAATGTTCTTTATCTTTTTTATGAATTACCCAGATAAATTGCAACAACGTGCAAACAGTAGATTGAAAGATCTTCTGCATTCCTTGTCACGTATTCCATATATAAAAGCATTTGTGACGGAGTTTGTTGCAGCCACAAGTGCTGCTACACGAAGTACGTATGAAGAAATACAGCCACCATTACAAATGACATAATCTATAAACACTATCACAGGAAATGGTGTTACACAGAGTAAAAAATATCCAAAAACGACACGAATTGTTTTGAAGAGTTTCAATTGTCGTGTGAAGTTTTTTCGTTAGCTCAAATCATCTGTAGCGTTTGAATTATTTCTTTGTAGTTTTGAACTTTCTGATGCTATTTTTCGACCTTGGTTTCGAGCAATTCGTACAATTTTCACATTAAAAACGATCATAACACCAAGTGGAAGAAGAAAGAATAAAAAAGTGCAAATTGAAACAACTATTTTGCTTGGATAACATAAAAATGGTATGTTGGAACTTTTCGTATTGAAAAACATCATAATAAAACTAAGAAAGCCAGTGATCCACACTGAAACCAATGCTATAAACACCTTTTTTGACTGACAATTTGAGGATACTTTAAGGGAAATGCAATACAAATGTAACGATCAATTGTGAGCATCGTAAGATTCACAACTGATGTCGATATGGTCGCGTACCAAAGGGAATAGCTCAGTTTACAAGGTACAACAGATAGTTTGGTTATTCCTATTAAAAGTTGAGTTAATGTTACAATAGTCAGCGGAAGAGTGATCCCACAAACGACAAGATCTGAAACAGCCAAACTTATAATAAAACAACTGGTCGTATTTTTATCTGTATTCCAACGAAAATTGTACAATATCACAAAAATGTTTCCTGTAACTCCAATAATTACACACAATGATTGACCCGTTACTTGAAATATTGAAAACGCTTGGGACTGCTCAATATTTGTATGATTCATTTCTTTTACACACACTTTATTGCCGTTTCATAGTACGATTGAAGGAATAGCTTTATATAGTTTCAATTTATTCCAAAGCCATCATCAGAGTATATATATAATATATTAATCCTTAATATAGTCCTTAATGTCAAACACCAGCTGAACTGTGCGCATCATGGTAACGCATCAACACAACGCAGATGCGTCCTTAAAAGCTCATTTAGATGAGAAATATTGACATAAAAACAATTTTTTTACGATATTTTGACAATTAAGATATTTTAAATAAAATTATTTTAAAATGTAGAGTTTCAAGTTGAAAACTTTCGACTGTGTAATGTAAGTGTGTTAAAACGACAAGATGGATATATTATTCATGGAGTTTTGGTTATAGCTATGAAAAAACAATAACTTTTGAAATTTTCTAAATTTTTAACATTGTAGAGGCGCAAATGTAAAAGTTTCTCTACAGGTTGTTTATACTATCTTAATTGAAATGTCTTGTTGCAAGCCCCCTGTGGCTTTTTTATTGAAAATATGTTAAAGTAAGATACATTTTCTGTTTTTGTTTATACTGTGTAATGAGTTAACGCTGATACATCAATACTACCCCTACACTCCCAATGTGACAATTCAAAAAATTAAGACAGTTTGAGAAATTTTTCGCAATTCGCGATTTCAGAAATGTTTACTGTTTGTTTTACGTGTTACGAAATATGTATAAATACGAAACATTTTTTAAATATGCACATCTTCAAAATTAAAGTGACGAAACTACGATTGTAGAATTATTTTTTAACTCCGACAAATAAACTTCTTTCAATAGAGTTATATAATTCAATGCCCGCGTTTTACGAAGGAGATCACGCGACAAAATTTTGTGATTTGAGAGCTCTTGTTTATTGTGCTACAAGCGTGTTAATCAATTTTTGTGCTACGTTTATCCTGACATTTTTAACACAAGATGTGTTTTTAATAGTTTATTTAGATGGATATTGTGGACTTGTCGTAGTTTGAAATAACAGTATTTTTAATAGAACTATTTTAAAGTGCATTCATTTATATTTTATAAATGTTTACGTTTCAGGCTTAAAAATTCACGAATGAAGTATGTATGCATAAGAAAAAGAAAGAATAGTTGTGTATTGTTTGTGATGCTATGAAAAGATAATTACTACTTTATAAAAATTTTCATACCTAGTAATGATGTAAAAATTATTTTCATAGGTTCTTTACATTATATAGTGCTTGACGCTGAAGAAGATCAAGGGCAAAATCAAAATAGCTGTTGTTATGCAACTAAGTATCCTGAGTTGATGCCTATTCCTTTCGGCTACACTGAAAAAGATCCAGGGCAAAATCAAAATAGCTGTTGCGATGCAAATAAGTATCCTGATTTGATGCCTATACCTTTCGTCTACGCCGCAAGAAATTCAAGAGTTCGGAATGAGTTTGAGAGGTTGCAAATATTTGCAAAAATGAGTGTTTGCTTCAGTTGCCAAGGTAACATTTTATTTCATACAAAATCGTTTAAATAGACGGTGGTTTGGTCATGTGAATGAAATTTTGTACGTGAGTTGAAAATGTTTTATATAAACTTATTGTTTTTTTAAATTATATGTTAAAAAGGAAGAAGCTGTTTCAAGCCTTCGCAGTATCCTTTGATTCTCTAATTTGTTTTATGAGAAGAATACTAGTAAAGAATGAGGAAAAATTTAGAAAGCAAAAAAATCAGTTTTCGGTCCATGCCTCCCGATACCCCGAGATAGTTGAGCACTAGAGCGTCTTGTGTTTATAAAGGAACCAGATAATCCTTGTTTGCCATGAAGCCCATGGATGGTTTGCTCGTGATACATGAGAAATAATAAATGAGAGAGTTAAATCACAAAGAAATAAACCAATAAAAATTGTATAAAACATACTTAAAGTTGTCTTAGATTATAAGTGTCAGAAAAAGTCACAGTGTAAGAAGAAGTTAATTGAAACATTGTTGGTTTATTTATGAGAAGAACTCTTTTAAAGAAAAAGATAAAATTCGAAAGCAAAAAACCCCGTTTTCGGTCCATGCTTCCCGATACCCTCTTATGAGTAAGGCCCTAGAGCGCCACATGTTAATGTTTCGGTAGGAGATTTTGGCCCTCCACGCTATCCTACTTGGGGATTCCGATACGTAGCAAGCTTCCGCCCATCAGACCCCGAGATCACCTGCGATAGGCTTTGCTCAGGGTACGCAGGGAGAGTGCGGTCGCCACCGAAGTTTGGGCGCCTAAGCTACTGCATACTATTTCGCACCCAGATTCCACTACTAGTTGATATCTACTACAACAAGTATTAGCAAATATTATTATATATATATATCACATAAGTTTGAAGGCTTACGAAAATTGTGGTATTATTAGTCACTATTGCGCATGCCCAGGTGATTTCTTTAATACTTTACGACTAAATTAGTTAATTGCCCTAAATTTAGTGCAAGTACATATAGTTAGTCGTTTCCAAGACTATGAATAGTTAGTTGAGTGGACTGCAAATGCTCGACCGCATGCGCAGGTGATTTCTATTGAATTGTTACTAAGCATGCTATTACTTCAAAATTGGTACTAGTATATGCAGTTGGTCGTTGCCATGACCATCAACTTGCGCAGCTGGTTAAGTCGACCGGCATGCTCAAGCAGGCTGTGCATGCGCAGATGGTTAATCTGAAAATTTATGACTGAGCGCTCTTATTACTCCATAATTGGTACTAATACCTACAGTAGGTCATTGTCATGATAATGAACTTGAGAGTTGGTGCAGTTGACTACGCATGCATGCTGAGATTAATTTTCAAGCGATGGAGCTCTGAAATTAATGCTCATAGGTGCGTTTTCCAAATTTTCAATCATATATTTTTAAACGCTCTTTGTCTTTTTAAGCTGGTTTTGACAAATGCATATCAAAGTCAACAACACTTTGTTGTATATTCTCACGTGTGTCGACGTTGTCTTGGCAACTATTTCAGGTCGTGACGTCAAATTCAGTGGTTATTTTCACATTGTAAATAAACACTTGTTGTGTTGGCAATTTTTAACATGAGAAGATTTACTCATAAAAGTACAGTTTTTCACTCAAAAACAGAGATCTTGCTGCTGAAATTTTCGTCTCTTAGTTATAGCTTGCTTCAAAAGTTGCTCGAGCAAATTTTAAATCGAAAATGGCTTCTAAATACGACATGTGAAAATTCATTTCAATTTTCATATCGACTCAAATTATTTTCTAGTGAATTAAATAAGATAAAATGAAGGGCAGATATATAAAATTTGAAAATACGTTAAATTTTCTTTTGAAAAAGCTTTAAAACCTTCAGTGTTTGTAAAGGACATAGAGAAACTAATTTTTTATGTCTATCAATCAGAAATCCATGTTTTATAATTTGATTTTTGTTGTTTCCTTGATCCTTTTTATTTCTTATTGTTCTCTGGGATATCAGTTTTTAAAGATAGAGGATCCTGTCCGACGTAAAGTTCAAACTGCTTCTGTTATTGGAAAGAACAACACAAGAGGTTTTGAACTTTCTCCCCCCGAAGTGGACATGGGGGTACTTAAAGAAGGTCACACGTATGTACATTCGGTGATATTAAGGAACATTGGTATTGATAGCTGTAGATTCAAAGTACGACAACCTCCTCCATCCACTGGTATCAAAGTTTTGTTTAATCATGGTCCTGTAAGTTTTTTGTTTTCAATTAATTATATATTCTTAAATATCCTTTCTACCGCTTAATCCCCTAAGTATACCCCCTTTACCCTAAATATAACCTATTGCGTGTGTATAGTTCAGTATAAATTAGCATCAATGATAATTTCAAGGCATACGACTCGAAAATTTTGCTATTTAAATTATATTTTCACTCAACAGGATTTTGAAAATGACAGCGTATTTTCTCAAACAGTGTACGTACATTGCTTCTCATTCTCAAGACATTGAAATTTTTATAATTCGCTTTACACAATTTTTTACATCATTTTGCATTTAACAAAATTTTAAACATCTTTTGGTTTGGTTGAAATGATCAAGCAATATTTAATACCATTAGGGAGGGAATGAATGGAATTCTGCTCTGTTAAAGTAAAATATCAGTAAATGTACCTGCTATTTCAAATTTTCATTATGAAATGTGACGTCAAATGCTGTGTAAAGCGTACAGTACATAAACTACAATATCTCAATAAAGAAAATTGATATGAATAAACTGTTCTAGAAGATTTTTATGGGAACGTTCAATGAAAATATAATATAAAGGGCACAATTTTCGAATCATAAGCTCTTACATTGAAAAGCAACAAAGCAATTTCTATTGTGCTGCTTGATGGGCTAATAAACTGCAATGGTTGTGAATGACATACGTTTTTCAATGAAATAAAACCTGTGTCTTACTTTTTCTTTGGTTGTTGCATTTTTAATTTAAAGATTGCAGCAGGAATGACGAAAAGACTAGACATTGAAATGTTTGCTGTAGCTAAAGAAAGAGGAGATGGATCTGTTGGTCATCACATTGAGATAATTGCGAAAATGAATTTTTTATCTTCCTGTGTCGGCCAGTATCCTTTAATTTTATGAATAGTTTGTGTGACAGGAATATTTATATCATAAAATTCATGCTCATTCAGAGAATGAGAACAGTCTTTACGCTGCATAAAATATATAAGAAATAAGATAACGTATGTCTGTGTAGGTAGTGATGAATGAACAACAGAGAACGAGAACAGTTTTTGCAATATCTAAAACATATAAGAAATGAGATAAATTGTGTCAGTGTAGATAGTGATGAATGAACAAAAGATTACAAGAACAGTCAACTTAGTTACAAATCATAGCATTCTTTAATGATATTGTCAGCTATTTTAAGCGCTTATTTGTATGACAATCGTTCAAATTCGTTTCCCCAAAGTTATCTCAGTAAAGGAACTCGTATGATTGACAATCGACCACCATCAAGATACGCTATTCGTCCTCAAAGAAATCATATATATTCTGATGTTTCCAAACAATTTTAAACTTCATAGATTGTTCTATGTATTCTGCGTATAGTTTTTTACCATTGAGTAATTTTTATTACATAAATTATAAATTTTATTTATATCTTCTTGTGACCCAAATCTTACTATCGCTTTCAAAATTATGGCATCAATTTGTATGATTTTGGGGCTGATTACATGAGCCCGGTAACCTGAATTCAGCGAGGCGGGAAAGGATTTTGAGTCATCGAAAGGAGCAAAAATTTTAAGCGCAAAACTTTTCTTATGCGTTAGTTGTAACTTTCAAATCATGCAAAAGTACTTGTTTTCATTTTAAAGACTTTGTAAATTTGCAAAGTCAGAGCATAGAGAAATTGCTCAAAAAAGTTTTTTGTCGAGAAGTATTTAATCTTTTCCATTTGCCAAAAATGATTTAACTCTTCGCTGAATCCGGCTACCAGGCTCATGTGAACAGCTTAAATTTGTATTCGAGTTGTATTTACTTGTTTTGAGTGATTTTTGACTACCATTGATGGTGTTCAAAGCGTATATTGTTTATGGTCAGCTAGGGAATAAAGAAAAGAATAAAAGTATTTAATTGTGAAGTCTGTTTTTAAATTTATTCAGTGAACCTGTGTATGAATTTGGTTTGCAAATACATATGGTAGTTTTACTGTCGTCAAAGTTTTCGATGGTTCACAAAAAGTTTTCAAAAGTTAGTGGAAACGACATTGTCTATGCGAGGAAAAGACTGTCAACACAACAGGATATAAAATGTGGGGAAGGAATGAGCTAAAGCTTGGAATAGAGCTTTGAGAATGTGAAGAATGCGAAAGATTTACTTGTGTCTTAAGTATTGGCGATGTAACTATCGAAGAAGATAGCTATTAACAACTTACTTGGTAAACTTTCCTCGAGGTAATGTAGTTTTAATAAATTTTAAAGCGGAAACATCCAGCCATTAACGTTTCCACTCACCAGAACTGTAAAGGATTCAAGTGCTAAAAAGTCAACTGAAACAAGTTAACGCAATTTCTACACTCGATTGGCAAGAAGAATGAAATGTTGAAATAAGGCGTATTAGCTTTAATACTGATTAAAATGTTTAGTCCAAACGTTCCTCGTAAATATATTGATGGTATGCACATGTTTGTGGGATGGAGTAAAACAACCCTGGTGTCGATTTTGTGTATTACAGGTGAAATAATGACGTCATTGCCAGATGATGTTGACGACCAAGTAAATGAAAGTATAAAGCTGAGAGCGCAATGGATGACGGTAACATGTGATGGTCAGCGGTTTTTACAAAACGATGGTGGTAGCCAATGTTTAGGAAATTACGTGAAACAATCTCTAGCGACATGTCCAGATACACGACAGGTAATTATGTTCAGGACCGTCCCGAGAACTTTATTCTGGGGGGGTGTATATTCATATTCTTAATTTTGGTCGACTGGTTTCTTTTGAATGTGAATTACTTAATTCCTTAGGTGAATTGCTTTCAAAAGAAATCAGTAGGCACATCTGAATACATGAATAAAACACCCCCACCCACATTAACTATCCACCGATGGCCCTGATTATGTTGTAGAAGCCTTGAAAACAGCATTTTAAATGGCTACTTTTAGTTTTTCGCTTGTTTGAGACGATTTTTTATTGTCCTGGCATATTGCTTTTTTCTTACGAAAACATAATTATCATTTGCATGTAAGCTCCATATGATGGAAGCAGAAATTCTATGCTATTACTAAAAAGTTAAACAAAATAAAGAACAAGGAAGGCTTGCTTTTTACCGCTACGTATTTTTCTTGTTGTTAAGTTTACTAAAGTTGCATTATGATATGAACGATACATGTTGTAATTTGACAAAAAACTGCTTCATATTCGTTGTGTAAGAGCAAAATCTGTGGCTACTGCTGTTTTGATATCTCTAAGAGCAACCATTAATTCTATTTATTACTTGTCTATTCAAGTTCGACATAAATATTCTTCTTGAATGTCTTTATAAAAATAGCTTAGATTTACAAAACGAGGGAAGATAAAGTCATCAAAGTTACTCGACCTGACGGCACTCAAGTCGTAGCACATTCGGACGGCACTCGTATTACTACGTTTTACGATATAACACGAGTACAGTTGCAATCTCCGAATGCAGAAACTGGCGAAGAGGCTGAGTACGAGTCACGTGTTACCACATATGTCAAGGTGGAATGTGAGGGTTTTGCAACCGTTACCATGGAGACAGAATATGGTTCATGTCGAACGTTGTTTGGTAATGGTAGCTCCATACACGCGATGACAAATGGTGAAAGTGATGTTGATATATATGATGGTTCTAGGATCTTGTGTGATAGTAAAGGTATGTTGTTAAGAAGTGATGGTTATAGGGGTACACATAAGGACATTAGTTGATTTATAGGGAGGGTTAACAATCTTTGAATTATTTTCAATTCAAAAAATAATTTTATCTAATTCAAGAGAGGAAAATCAAAGTAAAGTGTTGTTACTTTATATTTTAGGTAACGTTTCCTACTTTGCTCGCGACTTAAATGAAGTTCATCGTGAGCATGGTGGTGATGACGTCAATTCTGTCAGGAATCGTCAGGGGGGTGTTTATTATCTACGCACTACATCACAACATTGTTGTGATCATAAGGACAACTGTGGAAATACATTCCCTGTGTTTAGTAATGGTGATATAAAAGTTGATAAAGTCAATAATACAGATACAACAGAAAAAGGTGAGACACCATTAACTTAACTCTACAACTTGAGTTTTTCTTTTAAATACCAATCATTCATTAAATTTTTTAAATAACATTTTCTTCGAATCATATGACGTAGTTATAACACATATTCGGTTTTGTTGTTATTTCTATAGCAGACATTTTACCCGTCCCACGATTCTTTGTGATGCATCGTGATGGTACTGGGTTTGAATTGTTACGTCATCAAGACGTTGACGAATACTTAAGAGCGGCTGAAGATAACGTTGCTACGGCTGTTTTAAGAACTCATGTTGAGGGTTTACCAAACGTCACCGGAGTTACTGTACTAAAACCTTTCTCAGGAGGAGAAGGAAGAAAATGGCTAAAACACAAAGATGAAAGTAATCTTATTCCGCTTGCTTTAAGGGAAAGAGACTTCACGCAGTTTCCACCGATAGAAGAAAAGAAAGATGGACCAAAATTTGGTACCAATGCAGGTGGTCTTTATTTCATTGTTATATTGATGTTTCATTTGAATTTTTGGTATTTTGAGATCGCTTTTTTGATAAATCGATAGTTTGGTTTCAGGTTCGCAATGTTAAGGGTTTGCGGGTGTCTTACAGGGATATTAACGTTCATACCTGTGGGTGTGTTGCAGGGTTATAATGGTTCAACTTAGGGGATGGCACCAGTTATTATCCTAATTTTCCCGCTCATTTTTCTTCTTTTTTCAGGTTGTGGACTAGTCATTGGCAACATGAGAAAGCCCGTTGATGTAAAACCATTATTAACTTGTCCCAAAGTCTTGGTTTTGCGTCATTTTGTTCAATATGAGCCTTCAGACATCGTACATCGCGAGGCTATTTCAGCGGCATTCCGTCAATATGGCGAGTACGTGACAAAACTTCAACTTCAGTGCGATAACTGTCTGCCGAAGGAGTCACGTGACAAGGAAGAAGTAAAAAGAGCAAATGGATTGGCTGAAAAGGTAAGCATTTTTTAATCATAAAGCGGTTATATTATCATACGAGACTGCCTATATATTTTTATTACATCAAGAAATACATATCATAGTATTACTTATAGTTACACTATAGAAAAATTTTAAGATAACAACAGCAAAGATTGTGGTCAAATTATCAAAGTTTATTTATAATGACGTGAATGTTACTCACTAATATCATAGTGTCATAGTGCACATAAATAAAAGTCATAGTGCACATAAATAAAAGTCAAGATGGAAATGCATATTTTTCTACATATCTAAAACTATTTTATACGACTCATTTAAAGTTATATTTTGTACTGCACTGAGCTTTGATTTCTTCACGGATCTCCTAAAGTGAATGTACATCAGTGAATTCATTTGTTTTTTGAACTATGTTTTCCACCAGGTGCAAGAACTTTAATAATAGTTAGGGTAGTAGAGTTTAATGATAGTCATGTTCAGCATTTATAAAGTTCAGAATCTCCGAGAGTGATGGAGTTGAGATCTTTCTCTAAACCCCTATTCTAGTTAGACACACGTTTTTAGAGAAGTAAAATCAAGCAAGGCTTTTTTAAGAAAAATCTTTGGGGTCTCTGTTACAGACCTTTAAAGTTGAGAACAGTTTAGAAAATCTGCCTTGCAGTTATTTAAAATCATAACGTCCTATTTCCTCAAGAGAAGCCTTAAGTCTCACATTTTATCTTGGCCTCCCTAAGAGAGACAGTTATCATTAGATTTTTTTCGTGTTATGCAATAATGTTCTTTTCCGTTTCTTTGTATTCTCTTTTCTATTGATTACCCAGATGAATTGCAACATCGCGCAAACATTTGTTTGAAAGATCTTCTGTATTTCTTATCTCGTATTCCATAAATGAAAGCATTTGTAATGGAGTTTAATACAGCCAGAAGCGAAGTTCCATAGTGAACTTTTAGAGGGATACAGCCACTATTGCAAATGACAAGCTCGATAAAACCTATCACAGGAAACGGTGTTACACAGAATAAAAAACAACCAAAAACGACACGGATTGTTTTGAAGAGTTTCATTTGTCGTGAAAAGTTTTTTCTTGAGTTCAAATCATCTGCAGCCGTTGAATTATTTTTTTGTGATAATGAAGCTTGTGCTGCTATTTTTTGACCTTGAATTCGAGCAATTTGTACAATTTTCACATTAAAACGATCGTAACACCAAGTGGAACAAAGAAAAAGAAAAAAGTACAAACTGAAGCAGCTATTTGGTCGACATCACATATGAATGGCACATCGCTAGGTCTCGATGTGAAAAATATCATAAGAAAATTAAGAAAGCCAGTGATCCATACTGAAACCAAAGCCATAGACACCTTTCTTTGGGTGACAATTTGAGGATACTTTCAGGGTAATGCAATACAAATGTAACGATCAATTGTGAGAATCATGAGATTCACCAGAGAAAGCGATATACTTGCGCACCAAATGGAAGTGAATAATTCGCAAGATAGGCCTGTTTTTCCCATCAAAACCAGTATATTTTTTGCGATAGTCATCGGGAAAGTTATCCCACAAACGACAAGATCCGACAAAGCCAAATTAATAACAAAATAACTGGTCGTGTTTTTATCTTTATTCCAACGAACATTGTGCCATATCACCAAAACGTTTCCTGTAACTCCAATTATTATAAACAATGATTCAAATATTATTAGAAATATCGCAAGAGTTTGTGGTATTTGGTTATTTATAGAATTCATTGTTCTTTTTCATCAGTTTTTAGTCTCGTTTGTAAGAGAATCCTTGGATGAAATAAGAACAACAGCTTTCGTATCAACCTAAATAGTCGAATGCTAATATTGAACTGCGTGCTTCATGACAACGTTAACACCAGATGTGTTTTTAAAACTTTATTTAGATGAAAGTTTATTAGCTAACATTGGCATAACAAATTCATTTACGATAGTTTGATAAAGCAGTCATTCCGATATGTTAAATATATGTGCTTAAAAACGTAATCATTTCTATTTTATGAGAGTTTCAGTTACAAATTTAAAGATCGAGGATAAAATATAAATGTGTTGTAAGAAAGAGAAGTGGCGCGGGGAATAGTTTTATGTTATTTAGATAACTATGAAAAAAGGATATTCTTTAAAATTATTATAAACAATGATGATTCAAATGTTATTAGAAATATCACGAAAATTTGTGGTATTTGGTTGTTTGTAGAATTCATTGTTTTCATCAGTTTTTAGTCTCGTTTGTAAGAGAACCCTTGGATGTAATAAGAACAACGGCTTTCGTATCAACATAAGTAGTCGAATGCTAATATTGAACTGCGTGCTTCATGACAACGTTAACACCAGATGTGTTTTGAAAACTTTATTTAGATGAAAGTTTATTAGCTAACATTGACAAAACAAATTCATTTTTCGATAGTTTGATAAAGCAGTCATTACGATATGTTAATTATAATTGCTTAAAAACGTAATCATTTATATTTTATGAGTGTTTCAGTTACGAATTTAAAGATCAAGGATAAAATATAAATGTGTTGTAAGAAAGAGAGGTGGTGTGGGGAATAGTTCTATGTTATTTAGATAACTATGAAAAAAGGATACTCTTTAAAATTATTATAAACAATGATTCAAATGTTATTAGAAATATCACGAAAGTTTGTGGTATTTGGTTGTTTGTAGAGTTCATTGTTCTTTTTCATCAGTTTTTAGTCTCGTTTGTAAGAGAATCCTTGGATGAAATAAGAACAACGGCTTTCGTATCAACATAAGTAGTCAAATGCTAATATTGAACTGCGTGCTTCATGACAACGTTAACACCTGATGTGTTTTGAAAACTTTATTTAGATGAAAGTTTATTAGCTAACATTGACAAAACAAATTCATTTTTTGATAGTTTGATAAAGCAGTCATTACGATATGTTAAATATAATTGCTTAAAAACGTAATCATTTCTATTTTATGAGTGTTTCAGTTACAAATTTAAAGATCAATAATGAAATATAAATGTGTTGTAAGAAAGAGAAGTGGTGTGGGGAATAGTTCTATGTTATTTAGATAACTATGAAAAAAGGATATTCTTTAAAATTATTATAAACAATGATTCAAATGTTATTAGAAATATCACGAAAGTTTGTGGTATTTGGTTGTTTTTAGAATTCATTGTTTTCATCAGTTTTTAGTCTCGTTTGTAAGAGAATCCTTGGATGTAAGAAGAACAACGGCTTTCGTATCAACCTAAATAGTCGAATGCTAATATTGAACTGCGTGCTTCATGACAACGTTAACACCAGATGTGTTTATAAAACTTTATTTAGATGAAAGTTTATTAGCTGACATTGACATAACAAATTCATTTACGATAGTTTGATAAAGCAGTCATTACGATATGTTAAATATAATTGCTTAAAAACGTAATCATTTATATTTTATGAGTGTTTCAGTTACAAATTTAAAGATCGAGGATAAAATATAAATGTGTTGTAAGAAAGAGAAGTGGCGCGGGAAATAGTGCTATGTTATTTAGATAACTATGAAAAAAGGATACTCTTTAAAATTATTATAAACATGATTCAAATGTTATTAGAAATATCACGGAAGTTTGTGGTATTTGGTTGTTTGTAGAATTCATTGTTTTCATCAGTTTTTAGTCTCGTTTGTAAGAGAATCCTTGGATGTAATAAGAACAACAGCTTTCGTATCAACCTAAGTAGTCAAATGCTAATATTGAACTGCATGCTTCATGACAACGTCAACACCAGATGTGTTTTGAAAACTTTATTTAGATGAAAGTTTATTAGCTAACATTGGCATAAAAAATTAATTTGCGATAGTTTGATAAAGCAGTCATTACGATAGGTTAAATATAATTGCTTTAAAACGTAATCATTTCTATTTTATGAGTGTTTCAGTTACAAATTTAAAGATCAATAATAAAATATAAATGTGTTGTAAGAAAGAGAGGTGGCGCGGGAAATAGTCCTATCTTATTTAGATAACTATGAAAAAAGGATACTCTTTAAAATTATTATAAACAATGATTCAAATGTTATTAGAAATATCACGAAAGTTTGTGGTATTTGGTTGTTTGTAGAATTCATTGTTTTCATCAGTTTTTAGTCTCGTTTGTAAGAGAATCCTTGGATGTAATAAGAACAACAGCTTTCGTATCAACCTAAGTAGTCAAATGCTAATATTGAACTGCGTGCTTCATGACAACGTTAACACCACATGTGTTTTGAAAACTTTATTTAGATGAAAGTTTATTAGCTAACATTGACATAACAAATTCATTTTTCGATAGTTTGATAAAGCAGTCATTACGATATGTTAAATATAATCGCTTTAAAACGTAATCATTTTTATTTTATGAGTGTTTCAATTACAAATTTAAAGATCAATGATAAAATATAAATGTGTCGTAAGAAAGAGAAGTGGCGCGGGGAATAGTTCTATGTTATTTAGATAACTATGAAAAAAGGATACTCTTTAAAAGTTTACTACTGTGTCATAATGTCGAGTCACTTTCAATAATTTCGTCACAGATTGCATTGTCTCAGGTTAAATTACGATATTGCAAACCCCCTGTGGCCTTTTTTATTGAAAACACATTAAAGGAAAACACGGTTTTCTGTTTTTATTTTTATAAATAACGAAATATTTCATCAACATTTTCTTTAGTTATTGCTAGCGAACGCCGGCTACTAACAATGAAGTCTCGTTTTATGATGGTCTGTTATGGCTTCATTACAAGGAGGTCACTTTTCTTTGAAGAGTTTTTATTAAAACGTAGCGGAAACGATTAAAATTCCGTATAGCGTGTAAAAGTTTATCGTGTTAGAGACAAGAAAACGTCAAAAAATTGTGTGAACGTTAAGTGAACTAGAGCTACCCTTCATGCTTAAACTTAGTAAAACTATTGATTGACATGTAAAAATTCCCTTTAACAAACTTTGAAAAATGACATTGGATTCATGATATATTTCATCAAAACTTTTGAACGATATCAAAGGCAAAATAATTTCAACCGTTTATAAAGAAGAATGATAACAATCCAATTATTCCCGGCCGGATGAAGGAAGGATTTTATCATGTGTACTTTAGTTTTACAAAGCAAACTAGAGTATATGTAATAATTTATCGTAACTAATACTTTGAATTCACCGGGGCATTTTTATTTCATTTTTAGTACGAGCGAGAAAATTCTCTAAAAAATGATCTCAAAGCTGATGTAAATGGTAATGTTTAAACTTGGTTTCTATTTAGTTTTTAATTTTCCCTGTCCCTATCATGAAAACAATACATTCAATAATGTCGTTGTTTCTTTATTAAACTTCTTGCTGACTTTGTTGTAAAATTGTTGAGTCTTCTTTTGTCTATTTTTGAAAGAATCAGTTTATAAAAACCACCGTAATTCATACAGTTTATTTTGAACATAGATAAGTCAAGTTGTTTTATGTTTACTGCAGGGGTACAAGAAAAGTATTTGAAGTCTGTAGCACCTGTCGAAAAGCCCGCACCACCTGCGCCAGCCTGGAAACGCACGGCCGAGGAATGGGAACGAGATCGTATAGATTTGGCTAAACTAGAATACGGCAAACATGCATTACGTCATCGTGAAGTTCCGCCATATTTTGAAACGGCGAAGGGTCAAGCTTTTCTAAGTGCTTTAAATCGCGGTCCTGATATGTTGAAGCTCAGTGCTGAACTCGACAAACAAGCTTGTCCAGTTTCTAGTTCGCTTCACATTGCAATGAGTGCATCAACAGAAATTATAGATCAGAGGCATCAAACTTCTCATGGTACGTTACTGCACATAGTTAGAGAAACTCTTTTTAATTAATAAACGTACTTTTTCTTTCTTACTGCTATAGAAAATGTTCTGCAATATTCAAACTGGTCTAGGTCAGCGGTTTTAGAGAACCCAGATCTTGAAAGAGGACAATCGCCTGGGGATGTCTCTCCAGTCGAAAGTAGTACACCTTTTGTCAGTCGTCCAGTGAATCCTACTCCTGCACAAGCTGGTGGTGTACCTACCTCCCCGTCGACACGACCCACCAACCCCACCCCCCGTCAAGCATCGACTGTCTTGAGCAATGAAAGTGTTTTAGATTCCCCCCGTACCAAACAATCTATAGTCCGAAGTTCGACTTTAGAATCATTGTTGGAAATGCAACATGAAGTATTGAGTTCAGATGTTACGTCATCAAGTAAGTGATAGTTGGTGCAATGTGTAGTACGTAAAAACAGCCTTTATGTTTATGTTATCGTTACACAGAGACATCTTGTGATAATCATGACAATTTACCCAACGTTATCATGGGTGGAAAACCTGGTGCTCTACCAAACTCTCAGGTGAGATGATAACAAAATTTTTAAATATTGGACACAGGCAAAAGTTTAATTTGCTTGTGAGGTCACAGACTACGTTACAATTGCCTCGGTATCAATTATTGGTATCTAAGTGGTAGAATTCTCGCCTGCCACGCGGGAGGCCCGGGTTCGATTCCCGGCCAATGCATCTTTCCTTTTGAACACTTCAACTTTATTTGTTTATTGTATTTTGTAATTTGTTCTCAGTTCGTTTCTTCACTTAACATGTGCCTTCAGTGCTTTTTTACCTGGACGGTGGACTAGTTGTGCTAAGCAGTCGCTGAATAGTGAAGATTGCGCTATTTATGCAAATGCAGGGCTCGTGCCAATTCTTAAAAAGGTGCAATGCGAAGACATATGTTCCAAAATAATTTTAAATTTGGTCAAAATCATATTTATACCTGCCAGTTTACATTGGTCCACATTTAGTAAACTTTATGATGCTTTCATTTCATTTTGTTATTTTGACTGTTTTATAGAACCGAACAATTTTTTTGCATGAAATTATTTGTCTTTGTCGGCAAAAGTTGCTCAATTGGTAAGGATTTTTCAGCGCAAGTCATTAGAATAATATTTTTTTAAGGAAGTTATGATGAAATCGTAAAAAGTGGGGCTCAGGCGGGAATCGAACCCGCGGCCTCTCGCACCCAAAGCGAGAATCATACCACTAGACCACTGAGCCTTGGTTCTTAAAGAATTGTGTACGATGTTTTATATAAAATAATGAAAATACCTGTAAAACAACGTGTACTTTGTTGTATATTCGCACGTGTGTCGACGTTGTCTTGGCAACTATCACAGGTCGTGACCTTTAATTCAGTGGTTATTTTCACATGTAAATAAACACTTGTTGTGTTGGCTATTGTTGACATGAGAAGATTTACCCATAAAAATACAGTCCCCCCCAAAAAAACACAGAGCTCTTGTTGCTGAAATTTTCGTCTCTTAGTTGTAGCTTGCTTCAAAAGTTGCTTGAGTAAATTTTAAATCGAAAATGACTTCTAAATAGGACATGTAAAAATTCATTTCAATTTTCATATCAACTCAAATTATTTTCTACTGAACTAAATAAGATAAAATGAAAGACAGAACAGAAAATTTGAAAATACGTTGCATTTTCTTTTGAAAAATTTTTAAAGTCATCAGTGTTTGTAAAGGACATAGAGAAACTAATTTTTTATGTCTATCAATCAGAAAACCCATGTTTTATAATTTGATTTTCGTTGTTTCCTTGATCCTTTTTATTTCTTATTCTTCTCTGGGATATCAGTTTTTAAAGATAGAGGATCCTGTCCGACGTAAAGTTCAAACTGCTTCTGTTATTGGAAAGAACAACACAAGAGGTTTTGAGCTTTCTCCACCAGAGGTGGACATGGGGGTACTTAAAGAAGGTCACACGTATGTACATTCGGTGATATTAAGGAACATTGGTATTGATAGCTGTAGATTCAAAGTACGACAACCTCCTCCATCGACTGGTATCAAAGTTTTGTTCAATCATGGTCCTGTAAGTTTTTTTTTTCAATTAATTATACATTCTTAAATACCCTTTCTACCGCTTATAATCCTTTAAGTATTCCCCCTTTACCCTAAGTATAACCTATTCTTGTGGGTAGTTCAGTATAAATTAACATCAATGATAATTTCAAGGCATACGACTCGAAAGTCTTGCTATTTAAATTATATTTTCACTCAACAGGATTTTGAAACTGACAGCGTATTTTCTAAACAGTGTACGTACATTGCTTCTCATTCTCAAGATATTGAAATTTTTATAATTCGCTTTACACAAATTTTTACATCATTTTGCATTCAACAAAGTTTTAAACATCCTTTGGTTTCGTTGAAATGATCAAGCAATATTTAATACAATTAATTCTTCACAATGAAGGGAATTCTGCTCTGTTAAAGTAAAATATCAGCAAATGTACCTGCTATTTCAAATTTTCATTATGCTATGTGACGTCACATGCTGTGTAAAGCGTACAGTGCGTAAACTCCAATATCTTGAGAACAAAATTGACATGAACAAACTGTTTTAGAAGATTTTCATGATAACGTTCAATGGAAATATAATATAAATAGCACAATTCTCCAATCATAAGCTCTTAAATGAAGATATGATCTTCGCACTTTGCTGGACAATTTAAGCAATTGTCTCAGGACCTGAAAATCGTAATCATAAGCTCTTACATTGAAAAGCAACAAAGCAATTTCTATTGTGCTGCTTGATGGGCTAATAAACTGCAATGGTTGTGAATGACACACGTTTTTCAATGAAATAAAACCTGTGTCTTACTTTTTCTTTGGTTGTTGCATTTTTAATTTATAGATTGCAGCAGGAATGACGAGAAAACTAGACATTGAAATGTTTGCTGTAGCTGTTGGTGTATCTGGAGAAAGTGGAGTTGGATCTGTTGGTCATCACATTGAAATAATTGGCGAAAATGAAATTTTTTATCTTCCTGTGTCGGCCAGTATCCTTTGATTTTATGAATAGTTTGTGTGACAGGAATATTTATATTATAAAATTCATGCTCATACAGAGAATGAGAACAGTCTTTACGCTGCATAAAATATATAAGAAATAAGATAACGTGTGTCTGTGTAGGTAGTGATGAATGAACAACAGAGAACGAGAACAGTCTTTAGACTATATAAAATATTTAAGAAAAATGATAACATGTGTCAGTGTAGGTAATGATAAATGAACAACAGAGAACGAGAACATCTTTACACTACGCAAAATATATAAGAAATAAGATAACGCATGTCAGTTTAGGTAGTGATGAATGAACAACAGAGAATGAGAACATCTTTACACCACATAAAACATTTAAGAAATAAGATAACGTGGTTCTCTGTAAATAAAGATGAATGAACAACAGAGAACGAGAACAGTTTTTACACGATCCAAAACATATAAGAACTAAGATAAAGTGTGTCAGTGTAGGTAGCGATGAATGAACAACAGAGAACGAAAACAGTCAACTTAGTTACAAATCATAGCATTCTTTAATGATATTGTCAGCTATTTTAACCGCTTATGAGTACGACAATCGTTCAAATTCGTTTCCCCAAGGTTATCTCAGTAAAGGAACTCGTATGATTGACAATCGACCACCATCAAGAGACGCTATTCGTCCTCGAAGAAATCATATGTATTCTGATGTTTCCAAACAATTTTAAACTTCATAGATTGTTTTATGTATTCTGCGTATAGTTTTTTTACCATTGAGTAATTTTAATTACATAAATTATAAATTATATTTATATCTTCTTGTGACCCGAAAGTTAAAAGCGCTTTCAAAATTATGGCATCAATTTGTATGATTTAGGGGCTGATTACATCAGCCCGGTAACCTGAATTCAGAGAGGCGGGAAATGATTTTGAGTCATCGAAAGGAGCAAAAATTTTAAGCGCAAAACTTTTCTTATGCGTTAGTTGTAACTTTCAAATCATGCACAATTATTTGTTTTCATTTTAAAGATTTTGTAAATTTGCAAAGTCAGAGCATAGAGAAATTGCTCAAACAAGTTTTTTGTCGTGAAGTATTTAATCTTTTCTATTTGCCAAAATGATTTAACGCTTCGATGAATCCCGGCTACCTTTTAAATTTGTATTCGAGTTGTATTTATTGGTTTTAAGTGAGTTTTGACTACCATTGATGGTGTTCAAAGCGTGTATTGTTCATGGTCAGCGAGGGAATAAAGAAAAGAATAAAGCTATTTAATTGTGAAGTCTGTTTTTTAATTTATTCATTGAACCTGTGTATGAATTTGCTTTGCAAATACATATGGTAGTTTTACTGTCGTCAAAGTTTTCGATGGTTCATAAAAAGTTTTCAAAAGTTAGTGGAAAGGACGTTGTCTATGCGAGGAAAAGACTGTCAACACAACAAGACATAAAATTTGAGGAAGGAATAAGCTAAAGCTTAGAATAAAAAACTTCGAGAATGTGAAGAAAATAGCGAAAGATTTACTTGTTTCTTAAGTATTGACGATGTAACAGTCGAAGAAGATAGCTATTAATAACTGGCTTGGTAAACTTGCCCTCGAGGTAATGTAATTTTAATCAACTTTAAAGCGGAAACATCCAGTCATTAACGTTTTCCACTCACCAGAACTGTGAAGGATTCAAGTACTGAAAAGTCAACCGAAACAAGTTAATGCAATTTCTACACTTGACTGGCAAGAAGAGTGAAATGTTGAAATAAGGCGTATTAGCTCTAATACTAATTAAGGATGTTTAGTCCAAACGTTCCTCGTAAATATATTGATGGTTTGCAAAGGTTTGTGGGATGGAGTGAAGACAACCGTGGTGTCGACTTTTGTGTATTACAGGAGAAGCAGGGTTAAGGTTTTGAAGAAGACACCAGTTATTATCTTCATTTTCCCTCTCACATTTGTTTCTGTTTCAGGTTCTGTAATCGTCGATAACATGAGAAAGTTTATAGATGTAAAATCATTAATCACCTGTCCTAAAGTCTTGGTTTTTGGTCATGTTGTTCAATATAAACCTTCAGACAGTTTACATTGCCAAACCATTTCACCAACATCCATCAATATAAACCTTCAGACAGTTTACATTGCCAAACCATTTCACCAACATCCATCAATATGAACCTTCAGACAGTTAACATTGCCAAACCATTTCACCAACATCCATCAATATGAACCTTCAGACAGTTTACATTGCCAAACCATTTCACCAACATCCATCAATATGGCGACTTTGTCTATTTCAACGTGAAAGACATGACTTTGAAGATATACAAAAAGAGATCAAAATTAGCAAGTAAATTGGTTAAAAAGGTAATCACTGTTTAATCATAAAATAGATATTGATATTCCTGACGCGAGATTGACTTTATACATTTTTATTACATATAGAAACATGTTATAGTATTACTAAGCAAAATTCAAAATAAGGTGACAGCTTCAAAATGACATCATAGATTGCTACCAATTTTACAGGGAAGATAAAATCAAGGAAAATTCCTTAAAGAGCTTTGCTCTCTGGGTAAGAGACTGTTTACAGTTGAGAATACAGTTGGAAGACTGTTGAGCAGATAAAACAAAGGCAATTTATTCACTAGTTATGTCATAGTGAACATAACTTAAAGACAAGCTAAACACCTTTCATAAAATTTAAGCCTATTTTATACAACTAATTTTATTAAGTTATATTTTGTATTACACTACGTATATACTATACACTACACATTGGTTTTAAAACTATCTTATATAATCCAAGAACCTTAAATATTCGAGGAACAGCAAAATTTCATCATTATTATCGCAAGAATAGTCTTCAACATTAAAAAAAGTAGTAAGGTCTAGGACCACGACATTGAGTGAGAGAAAATGCTTCCCCGCATCCTCGTCCCAGTCGGCCTCACGATTTTATAAAACAGCTAAACTTATTCAAGGCTCTATAGTCTATAGGAATACATCTGAGTAAATTAACCATTTACAATAATTTGAGTAGATATTTTAAAATGATAACGTCATTCTGTCAGAAGATTCAATTTTTCAAAATTTCTATCGGCGTCGCTTTTAGAGACCATTAGATGTTTTGGTGTTACGAAATAATGTTCTTTCTCTTTCTATGAATTACCCAGATAAATTGCAACACCGTGCAAACAGTAGCTTGAAAGATCTTCTGTATTCCTTGTCACGTATTCCATATATAAAAGCATTTGTGACGGAGTTTGTTGCGGCCACAAGTATTGCTACACGAAGTACGTTTAAAGAAATACAGCCACCATTACAAATGACAAACTTTATAAACACCATCACAGAAAATGGTGTTATACAGAGTAAAAAATATCCAAAAACGACACGAATTGTTTTGAAGAGTTTAAACTGTTGTGTGAAGTTTTTTCGTGAGTTAAAATCATCTGTAGCGGTTGAATCACTTGTTTGTAGTGATGAAGCTTGTGCTGCTGTTTTTCGACTTTGGTTTCGAGCAATTTGTATAGTTTTTACATTGAAAACCATGATAACACCAAGTGGAAGAAGAAAGAATAAAATAGTGCAAATTGAAACAACTATTTCGCTTGGATAACATTCAAATGGCATTTTGGAACTTTTTGTATTGAAAAACACCATAATGAAATTAAGAAAACCAGTGATCCATGCTGAAGCCAAAGCTATAGACACCTTTTTTTGGGTGACAATTTGAGGATACTTTAGGGGTAATGCAATACAAATGTAACGATCAATTGTGAGCATCATAAGATTCACATATGATGTCGATATGGTCGCGTACCAAAGGGAATATTTCAGTTTACAAGGTACAGATAGTTTGGTTACTCCCATCAAAAGTTGAGTTACCATTACAATACACAATGGAAGAGATCCCACAAACGACAAGATCTGAAACAGCCAAATTTATAACAAAATAGCTGCTTGTATTTTTATTTGTGTTCCAACGAACATTGTACAATATCACAAAAATGTTTCCTGTAACTCCAATAATTACACACAATGATTGAACCGTTACGTCAAATATTGCAAACGCTTGAGACTGCTCAATATTTGTATGATTCATTTCTTTTACACTCTTTATTGCCGTTTCTTAGTACGATTGAAGGAACAGCTTTATATAGTTTCCCTTTAAGTTGTCAAATACCAGCTGAACTGTGCGCATCATGGCAACGCATCAACACAACGCAGATGCGCTCTTAAAAGTTCATTTAGATGACAAATATTGACATAAAAACAATTTTTTTACGATATTTTGACAATTAAAATATTTTAAATAAAATTATTTTAAATTGTAGAGTTCAAGTTGAAAACTTTCGAGTGTGTAATATAAGTGTGTTAAAAACGACACGATGGATATATTATTGATGGAGTTTTGGTTATTGCTATGAAAAATAATAACTTATAAAATTTTCTAACTTTTAACATTGTAGAGGCGCACATGTAAAAGTTTCTCTACAGTTTGTTTATACTATCTTAATTGAAATGTCTTGTTGCAAACCCCCTGTGGCTTTTTTATTGAAAATATGTTAAAGTAAGATACATTTTCTGTTTTTGTTCATATAACTAAATTGCTGTATCCCGAGCTCGACGTTGTCTTTAGTTATTACAAGCAATCGTTGAAAAAGTGAAATATATATTAACAATAAAATAGAGACTTTGTCGTGGTGACAAATCTGAAAATATTTTAAAGATAGCAAATACCATAGTGAATGGTAAAAGTACTATAATAAGTTGATAGTTTTATAAAAGAACTGTTTTAGAAAAGAGCACTAACCCAATAGTTTTAAATTAAACGACAAGATGCATGTGAGCAGACTACTCCTAAGGTGTCAACGTATTGTGCTGATTCTTATTCAGACGACAATTTTAGAATCATTAAGAAATACCGTTCATTTTTTCAGTTAAGCGTCATGAAAGATGTTTTAATTAAGTTAACCAATCCCGTCCTCCGCCGACAAAAATTTATGTTTTAATTTATCCCTGTTTTAAGCGTCATCTTCGCTTTTGGACATGGCATTATAAATATCGGTAGATTGTAAATTATCATTTAGCAGACGTTGACACTTGAGGTGTAGTCTGCCGAATTGCATCATGTCGTTTAATTTAGAACAATTGAGTTAGTGCTCTTTACTTAAAACAGTTTTTTAAGAAATTCTACCTTATTACTTTTACCATTCACTATCGTATTTGCTATCTTTAGAACTAAATATTAACACTAAAAATAAAGTCTCGTAGCTATAAGAACATGATATGACTTCGTGTAGAGAAGTTAGAATCACTTTTTTGCATATTGTGCATACGAAGATAAATGTCCAACTGTGTAATGAGTTAACTCTGATACATCATTACTACCTCTACACTCCCAATGTGACAATTCAACGAAATTAGGACAGTTTGAGAAATTTTTCGCAATTCGCAATTTCAGAAATGTTTACTGTTGTTTACGTGTTACGAAATATGTATAAATACGAAATGTTTTGTAAATATGCACATCATCAAAATTAAAAAGACGAAACTATGATTGGAGAACTATTTTTTAACTCCGACAAATAAACTTCTTTCAATAGAATTATATAATTTACTGCCCGCGTTTTAAGAAGGAGATCACGCGACAAAATTTTGTGATTTGAGAGAGCTCTTGTTTGTCGTGCTACAAGCGTGTTAAACAATTATTGAGCTACGTTTATCCTGACATTTTTAACACAAGATGTGTTTTTAAAAGTTTATTTAGATGGATATTGTGGACTTGTCGTAGTTTGAAAATAACAATATTTTTAATAGAAGTATTTTAAAGTGCATTCATTTATATTTTATAAATGTTTACGTTTCAAGCTTAAAAATTAACGAATGAAATATAAATGCATCAAAAGAAAGAAATAGAAGTTGTATATTGTTTGTGATGCTATAGTTAGTTGTTGCCATGACTATGAACGGTTAGTCGAGTGGACTAACATGCTCGAGTGCATGCGCAGATGATTTCTCTATTTAATTGTTACTAAGCATTCTATAACTTCAAAATTGGTACTAGTAGATGCAGTTGATCGTTGC